TGGAGGAGGTGAAGGGAGGGCTAGGAATGGGGAAAAAATAAGAACCAAGATGCATTATGTAAAGGTACAAGTTCCCAATGAGAAATGTAATTGTGTTGCATACCTAAACTGTACCAATAAAAGAATTTAAGAAAAAATATTAGAATGTTACAATTCCAATTACATATAGCGCTGAAAGGAAAATTACAAATGTAAATTTGCCTGGAAATTAGGCATTCTCAACGTGGTTCAAAAGAATATTTCTTAAATATTACTTCTTTATTGTTTTCACACACTAGTAGTTTGATCATCTGGCCTTTCATTAGGATGAAAACTACAATATCCTGTTCTCAAAACCTTAGGGAAAATTCTTAATTATCACTACCAAAAATGCACAGTTAATTTACAGTAGAAGATTTAGGTATATCTGATGAACTTTGTTTGCTTACCTTTTAACCACTAAGTCATTTTCTAAAACAATAAAGGTTTTCTGCAAATGTAAACAATATACATATAAAAATAAATGCATTTTTCAATTTTTACAAGTATTGAACTTGATTTAGCACTTCACCTCCAGCACTGTGTAACTTCACACTTCCATTTAACTAGATAAGAATCAAATGCCACACTGTATTGCCAAACATCTCACATTCTGATGAAAGGATGACACTTCCTCCCATTGGCAAACTTGCCACCACTGAATGCTATGAAACTTGAAAAGTGTTACTACACATTAGAATTGCATTTTCATTCAAGCAATTTTCTTACAATCCACCAGAAAGATGCAAAAACAGAATTTAAATACAAGTCTACAAAATAATGTGAGCTTTGGTTAAAACATATAATGTGAAGAATCTTCAGTAAAAGAAGAAAGCAATAAATTTACTTTATTTCCATCTAGGGAAAAAGTAGTTAGAATGTAGTAGGCTTTTCCTTTATAGAATTATTTCTAGTTATAAGATACTAGAAATAGTTTTAATTCAGTAGAATGTATCATAAACATGTATTTTTTATCTATCATATCTTAAATAGGCAGGGTAATTTATATCACCCTCCAACAATTACTAGTTTAATATTCATAAATCAATACAATCTCCAACAACACTGAGCTGGAACAAAACTAGCTAAGAGGAATTCAGAAGGCACATACCACACCAATAGAAAGAGCAAATTTTGCTTATAGAGATCTCAGAACACAGTGATGGTGATTTGCTCATGGCTACTCAGCTTGTCCAGAAAACAAGATTAAATACTAAATCTTTTATTTTCTTAAAACAGTGCTTTACTCTTACTGCTAATAAAAAAAAGACTAAAGAAATTTACCCAGGAAATCTCTCTTTACAACCTTCTCATTCCCTCCATTACACTCTTCCACACTGCATCCCTATAAATTAGTCAGACGTAGATATTATTTGTTTTTGAATAAGTGCTCCAATATATTTCAGCGATGAAGGCTCCACATGTCCTGAGTGCTAACGTAGGAACCTATTCACTTCAAAGCCACTGGAGGTGGCTGACCAAAAAGGTTAACAACACTGGCTCATTTTCAGGGTGAAACAGCACTGCAGTCAATTATTTCCACTTTTCAAAGTAATTTTTACCACTCTCACCTCTGGTTTTAAAATAAATTCTAAAATCTAAGGAGCAAAATACCATGAAGACAATTTCTTGTTAATGCCATTTGCAAAGCAGATAATCATCATTTTAAAATAAAGGTACAATAGCATCTGGGGCATGTGCAGATCTGTCATTAAAGATGCCAAGCTGACTGAAAAGCTGGTCCTTTCCTAAAGTAGATAACCCAGGGAACCTGGAGGATAAATGAGCAACACCTCTAACTACATAGTCAAGAATGCAGCACAGGTCACATTCCTCCTTATTCTACTTTACATTCCTCTAAAACAACTGGAGAGAAAAAAACATTTCAGCGTTCTCCTTAGCCAATATGGTGGCTGCAATACATTTCTCAGCAGGTAAGCAAAGAAGATTTCTCACCACTAAAATAGAGTAGATAGTCATACTAAATTGATAACAAGGTTCAAATGAATGTGCTGCTATAAGTGAGCAGATACATCATGAAGATATGAGAGAATACATGTCTTAATGTCTGCATTTATTAAGAAAGTTTTCATTCTCTGGGTGGAAGAATAGCTGTGAAGTCTGATGTTGCAAAGACAAAATTTTAATGAACAGTATATGCAACAGAAGCAATGCATGATACCCTGTTCTCTTTTATTGTTATGTAGACTAGAGTATTTAGTAGTGCCTGTTTTCATTTAATGTCAAGTCTTTTCTAGGTCAAATAGTAGCTCATCAAAGCTCTGTTTCTTACAGAAGCCTGATAATTCTAATCAAATATAAAGCTTTTAAATTCTAGTACTAATGAAAATGTGAAAGGTTTCCTAAAAGCAAATAAAGTACCACATCCTTTTATTTCTCAAATCAAATTAATGATTTTCCCACATTTGAGCCTCTTTGAAGAAATTAAGAGAAAAAAAAAGTAGAATTGCTCAGTCAGAGATTATGTGTAATTTTATGGCTTTTGATAGATTCAAGTACATGCTTGGGAAATGTTTTACTTCATCAATAACTAAAACTAAATCAAGGTTTGATTATTAGCCTGCCATCAATATGACAGGGCAAATCAGGCAAAAATAAACACAATGCAATACAAAAAAAGTATAAGTATGTCTTGATATATTAAATATTTTTCCTTTGATTATTTTTCTTTATTCCTTTGTTTCTCTGAACCAATTCTTAAATATGTCACCTAGTACCCTGTATTTAGAATATTACTATCTGTCCTAAAGAAATATTATTTAACTTCTGGTAATTTTAAAAGATCGATGTGACTCTTTTCCTTTTCTCTTTTAGTGGATTCTCCTATATATTGGAAAATATCTGCTTCTTTGTTTGGGAAAATTTAGGCTAGCTTTTGGAACTCTGGCCTTTGAAAATAGTATAGAATGAAATAAAGAAGTTGGGGCAACAGATGGCAAATTTAGACAGAGGGAAACAGTAAATTCTTACTATTCTGTCATGGATGGAATAAATGACAATTTCATTCCACTTGATTTCATTATTTCCTGTCTCTCTAGTTTTCACAAGGCTAACTCTTTTCTCCTGGACAAGAAGTAAATAATAGTCATGTAAACAGGTAAAAAAAAAATATTTATTTGTTAATATAAGCATTTCAGTTGGTACTTTAAAAGCTGGTAAAGTTATAACTTTAGTCTATGAACCTAAATTAAAACTGTGGGTTTAATATTTCCTAGAATCCTTACTACTATGTATTTTTTCCAATGCAAAGCTCTGGAGAATCTAATACCTTTGGCAAAATTATCAAGTTTAAAAACTGGTATCTGAGGGCCGGGGATTTAGCTTAGTGGCAACACGCCTGCCTCGTAAGTACAAGGTCCTGAGTTCGATCTTTGGTACTGGGGGAAAAAAATAAAAATAAAAACAAACTAACAAACAAAAAACTAGTATCTGAAAGTAGGTTCTAAAAGGCAAAAATAAGACTAATAATTTTAGAATCAGAAGATAGATTGGGAAGAATGTAATTTTCTGTATCTGCACCTGAAATTAATACTCTTATTTTCCTCCCAATACAAAGTAGAGATTTTTATAGAGAGATTCAGACTAGCAGGACTAGATAATTTATTAAATGTATCATTCAAGGGGAAGTGGAAAGAGTCTTTCAGTAGCAAAGATGAGAACAGTTGAGCACTAGTCTCAGCTATTCTATAAATTCAATAGATGTCTTAAAATAAGTTACTATCTCTCTTTGGGCATCAGTTTCCTCAACTGCAAAATAAAAATATTCCTAACTTCAGTATTTTATATTTCTGTAATATAGATGGATCTAGAAATTTTCTAGCTAGCATAAGTAAAAGAAAATGTTATGAGCATCAATTTAACGATTTGTCTGATTGGTTTGTTTAGAAAAATCACTAGACAGCTGGTATAACCACCCTTAAAGAAAAAATTTAAAAACTTTTTGTTAAAAGTTTCTCTCCTTAACGTAAAGATCATTCTTCAGAACCAGCATTATCTATTTATGGCAAAAGTCCTTTCATTGTCTAACAAGCCTCTTGCTAAGTATCACACAATTTAAATCCATTGACTTCTGTAAGTATTCAAAGATTGATTTGGGAAGTTACAAATAACATGGTTATATAAATTGTATCACTTTATCCTATACCTGGTCCACTGCATTTATTCCTTTTTTAAGTTTCTATAATAACACAGTTACCCAGCTGATATTTTCAAGTCACTAAATGAAGAATTACCAAGCATTTCATTTTTACATGAAATTATTTTTAAAAAGCAAACTAAGCAAAAAAAAAAAAAAAGCAAACTAAGCTCCAAATGTACATAGCTATGTACTATGTGTTTACTTGACTACATGTGTGTAGTAATGTATAAGGTCTTTTAGTATTATTTATATGTAAAATCACAGTCTTCCTTTGCATAAATAAGGAGATCGAAAAAGACCAAAAACTAATGGAAGATACTAAATTCTTTGTTTTGGGACATATAAAGAGCATTCTTTGTCCACAAAGTGAATTTATTAGTATAATACTATAAAAATTTTATAGTTTCTTACAAAAGAAAATAAATGCATGAGTTAAAGTGACCTAGAGTGATAATCATTTCCCCCCAGAGGTGGTTCTTGCTATGAATGACTGTTTGTGGGCTCCACAAACTTATATGTAATGTGTTGTGTTTCACCCTATGCATGCTGAACGTTCTTGAAAAGATATGCTATCCAAAAAAGGTAAAGTACAAATAAGAAATCTAAACCTTAGCATAAGTCATTAGCCTGAATCACACAAATAGTCCATGACATTGATAGCACAAGAACCCAAATTCCTAAAATTATCATGCTAATATTCACATGAATTCTAATTCCAGATAAATAGATTGTGTTTCTTAAGCCTGCACTGTTTTGTGAACAGATGTTGCTGCTTTATTTGCTGCAAAAGTAAGGTGAGCTTATAAGACCTTTAAGGACGCCATTTCAAATTTAATATTTATTGCTACTAAAATGAGTCACTTAAGACATTTAAGACAAGAATTATTGCCATGAAACCCCTCAAAACAATGCAAAGCTGTGTGATAAATGTGTGATGGCCGGGGATTTAGCTCAGTGGTTCCGCCGCCTGCCTCGAAGCGCAAGGTCCTGAGCTCGATCCCCAGCATGAAAAAATAAATAAATAAAAGCAAATGTGTGATGAAGATTTAATTTCATTCCTATCCATAGCAACCAAAATTAACTAAGTTTAACATTAAACATTTGAACATCTACTGGAATTTAGAATTGGAAAGGTTGTTCATCTAGCATAGCAGACCTGCTCTGAAATACCAGCTTATTGAAATTAGATGCTTTAATATAATTATACACATAAATTAAAATCACTAAAATGTCAGTATTGCACATCAAGCCTGGATAATTCAAGCTTCTTTTCACTAATTATTTCTGCTATGTTTTTTCAAAACAATTCTTGTTAATCTAGAAAGTATAACCAAGATGAACTGGCTATTAAATATGCCTTCAGAGCTAAATCTGTAGGAACATTGCACATTTCCCATCATTTTTTTCTGACTTTCCACAGAAGGGAGAAGAAGAAATTCCAAGGAAAAGAAGAAATATGGACAAGCAAATATGCTTATGGTCATTCAAAGCCAGGTGGTTTAGCATGCTTGATTGCTATTGGTGAGTCAAATAGAAAATGACAGCACCATTTATCATATTATATTATACACAAAATTTTAACAAAGGCAAGGCAAATCAGACTGCTGATTTCAGCGATATGATATATTTGATAGGAATTCATAGATGTGTACTACACAAAATCAATAAAATAAATGCCTTAATTCTTTTTTTTTAAATAAGCCCTGTTCCTTTTTTTTTTTTTTTTGTACTGGGGATCGAACTTGGGCCCTTCCGCTTGAGAGGAAGGCAGTGGAACCACTGAGCTAAATCCCCAGCCCGCCTTAATTCTTAAGGTAGAAAACTGGATTTTTTTTTCCCCCTCTGAGAAAAAAATATAGTCAAGGACCATAACCTCATAGGATCACACAGCATGGTCCCAATGATAACATTAGGCCTAAGAGTACTACAAAAATATTCTTTGTTCTAAGCTTAATTTGAATAATCAATAAAGTATTTGTTTTTGTTGAAAATAAAATAGCATGAGCCTGTTCAGGAATGTGATTACACTTTCAATATCTCCATTATAAGCTCATGTGTGACCAAGGAGAGAGAGCTTATATTTCAGTGCCTGCTGCCAGATATGTTGCTTTTTGGTGCAAATTAAAAGTGCAAATTACAAGAAACACTTTAACAACTTCAATACTAAGACAAACTATACCTTGGGGAAAAAGTGAAAAAGACAAAATGCTAAAAAACGGAAATAAGTCGTTGGCAACCAACAACTTATTTATAAATGATATATATGCGTCATTTTATAATTTATAGTAATATTTCCATTGCTATGCAATAGTAATAGGTTAAATAAATTGAAGATGAAAAGGACTTATTAAATCACTGTGTCTAATGCATGATATGGGAGGGCAGATTTCCCTAGACAGATGAAAGAGAGAGAGAGAGAGGAAGGAAGGAAGGAAGGAAGGAAGAGAGAGAGAGAGAAAGAAAGAAAGAAAGAAAGAAAGAAAGAAAGAAAGAAAAAGAAGAGAGAGAGAGGGAGGAGGGGGAAGATACTATATCAATACCTACAGAAGGTTCAATCAGCATACACTCTACAGACATCAAGTAGGGGTATTAGCATCAGTAGTGAGGAAGATTAGATATCAATACAAAGTACCCGTATGAATACAGAGTTGTATGCTGCATTTTCAAATACTGAATATATTTGCCTGGAGCATTTCCAAATTAAAGATACTATGCTTATATACAATGTAAAAAATATGAGTTTCAGTGAATTTTTAATTTTGTTCAACCAAAAACAATTTAGAGAGGACCACAGCTATCATTTTCAGAGTAAGCTAGTTCAGCTCCTCACTAGGGAGTTCTTGAATCTGCCATAAAAATCAAGTGTGCATCTAATCATGGTCTTTTAATTTGATCATCAAGAAGTGAATCACCACATCGCATAGTCTTCAAGGCCTCTTTGGTTTCCAGATTAAACATGTAATGTGACCTGTCATCTTACCACATTCTCTGCATTTTCATTTTAAATAATCATAAATAAGAAAAAACAACTGTCTGATTCAGCTGAGTTCTCAGTCTTAAAAATTGCACTTATTCTCTCTTTAGAGTCTTAGTTCAATCAGAATTTTTCAGCTGAAAGATTCTTTATTGTATTCAAATTTTGTCCCATATGAGTTGTTCTGGTTACTCAGCTTATGAAGAGTCTTGGAAATTGAGTTGGGTCCACAGCAGAAAACACCAACTGTTTTCCTGGAAAGAGAGCAAAAGAAGTGAGAAATCAGCAGGAAAATTAGGTAGAGCATAACAAAAGGAATGTTTTGTATGTATGAGTTTAAGATACTAACGAAGTTAATTTTTGTTACTTTGAATAAAGAACCCAATTTTCCAATTATTTCCAAATGTAAATAACCACCAGGAAAAAATGTTGTATTCATATCATGCTCTTCATATTAGAATTCAGAATAAAATTTTAAATATAACTCTAAGTACAAATTTTCTCATGGTCAGACAGAGACTGAGGAGTGTGCTTCAGTTTTTTTCTCATTACATGTTATTGGTAAGGCCAGAAACCATATAAAGAGAAACAAGTGATAGAGGCTAATTGATAAACACACTTGACACTATGTCAATTTTTCTTTCATTAGACACTCAACACATATTTTTTCTTAACTTTCCTCAAGGATTTACGTGAGCAATAATCAAAATGAGGTGAGAGAGAAAATACATCATAATTCGGAAGGATAATTTTAAATGACTAATTTATATTCATAAGGAAGTATAACATTAATCTGGAGACATTTACCTTCTTCTGTATGCACTGTAATAACTGTAACAAATGCCAAGCCAATTTTATTATTCTTTAACATAAAATTTTAGTAGTCAAATAACACATATCCCTAACAAATAGACTTAATAATTCTCAAGAATTAATAGTATTTCAAGCTGATCTTCCTCCAGAGTCTATTGATTTGCATTAGCTTCTTCCTATAATATCAAAATGATTAACATTTTCTTAGACAAATACAACATGTACTCACTGAAAATAATTGGTGCTGGGGAGAAAAGACAATGACTCCATTTAAATGCATATGAAAACTTTATATTAAATACTGAAAATATGTTTTCACCTTAAAAAATGAAACAGAAACTATGAAAACAATTTCTACTTATAGCCATGATGAGCAAATATTTATATTCTGCATTAAAAAAAACTAGACAAAGGGCTTGGGATGTTGTTAAGTGGTAGAGCATTTGCTTAGCATGCACAAGGGCCTGGGTTTCATTCCTAGAATGGCAAAAGAAAAACAAACAACAAGCATCACACTCCTAGAAAAAAACCTACATGAAACAAGTATTTTCAGACACTGGGGAAGAGACACCACATAACCATGACCACTGAGGTGGAGTATGGAGGGTTAAATCTCTACTCATGGCCTAGAGAAAATCTCCACACTACAGCATAGACAGGGAAAACCCAAGGACTTTCATTAAATTGAACAAAGAATGGAGTTCATAGGTTCAAGGAGGCCAAAATAGCTAGAATCTGTGCAGCAGAACATGAAAGAGAAAGGGGAGCCATTGAAAGGAAGTCAAGAGTCCTGTGGAGGCTAGTCTTTGACTGAATATTGATCTGTTCATGGGTAAGAAGAGACAACATGAATTTGGCTACAGAACTACAAGGCTTGTACATGCACAGAACAAAGGTCATATGAAGAGGCAGCAAGAGGGCAGCCACCTACAAGATATAGAGCCCTCAGAGGAAACCATCTCCCTAGCACCTTGATCTTTAATTTCCACCCTAGAAGGTATAGGTAAAGTTGTATTTAGAAGGAAATTTATAGTAGTAACTATTTTTATTAGAAATGAGAGGTCTGAAGCCCATGATCTATGGTCTACCCTTAAGAAACAAATTAAAGTGTTAATTTAATTCAAAAAGAGCAGAAGAAATAAGTATGAAAATTAATGACTTTATATTTAATAAAACTTGGATTGCTGTTAAAACCATAGTGTGGTTTTCATTAAGATGAAGAAAGAGTAATTTTCTTTGTATACATTCTGTTACACTACCTAATTGCAATAAGGTGTCCTTATTTTCTTTGACAGGGTAATTTACAGTTATATTTTTTAGTTTATTTTTTAAGTTTTTCAGATTTCCTAAAAATCTTCTTTTAAATACTAGATAATTAAGTCATTATTTGTGAAACATTTGTGATGAGTTTTTCACATTTTCTTTTCAATTGTTTATATTTTTTTCTGTGATTTGATGAGTTCCTAAATGTCACTTTCACTAACATAATTAAATCCTACAACATCTTTAATATCTACAATTAATCTTTGCAATCCATTTGCACCATCTTTGCACTAGATTACTGCAGTCCAAGGATGATCTAGAAATTTATCTACAAAACTTCAATAAGAATGATGGAGAGAGATTCAAATATGAAGTGGAGAATGTTGTTGAATAGTAAATACTATAAATTAGTTTTATAAATGTGCAATATACTTGTGTATAATTTTCCTACTATGTCAATACTTGCATTTCCACATAGATTTGAAAATGTGAGATTTCATACAATGAGAACTTCTTTGCCCCAAAGAGAATATCACTCCTTGTATTACTGAGCCAGAAAGTTTTGAGTAACTTGTCCCAAGCTCAGGAGCAAATGTGAAGGGTCAAATCTCAATTTCCTTAACTTGTATTGATTTCAAAACACTTTGAGGCAACAAAATAAAGACAGTTTCAAACATTTTACCAAAGTTAATCTTTTCTTCCTTTGCATAATGCACACGTTCAACAGCTTAAAATATGATGCATACTATAATTACAAACAATAGAAAATTAAATTTGGGTTAGATATAAATAATTTTTGGGCAGGTTATTAAATACTAAGTGGTTTACAAAGCAAGAGTATATTTTTGAAAAATTAGTTATTAGTGCTTTTACTGTATTATAGTTAATATTCTGCAGCAATATAGTGAATGAGTTTCTTATAATGAGAGTTTCTTATAATGCCTTACTGCCAACCCCATCTTCCAAGACAGACACGAAAAATAAGATTAGCGATCTTTCTATGCCCTGCTATAAAACTCATATTGTACCTCCACTCAGGACATTTAGATTCAAGTCTGAATTCTGATGCATTAACTATAGCTTTCAATAACTCATTATCTTTTGGGGGTTCCACTTTCATTTGTAAAACAATGATGAAGGCAAGGTCACTTCAAAAGTTCTTTCACTTTCCATCATCATATAATGTCATCACGTAATTCATTTTCTGAGTTTAATACAAAAGGAAGGAATCACTTTTGTATACATGTAGAAAGTAAATTAACTTGTCTTTTTGGTTTGGATAGGGAAGTATTTAAGTGTACATATATTTTGAGCCAGTAATTCCATTGTAAGTTTCGAATCTACTATAATACTCTTATAGGAGAAAATCTATACAAAGATAGTGATTTTAGCACTGTTTATAAGTGTAAAGAACAAAAGGTAACCTAAAATCCATAGTTAAAGTAGCAATGGTCAGATTATTCATATTTTATACTATTGTGAGATAAAATTACATGGAACTTATCCATGATCAATATATACAGGTATCATTTAAAAGTAAGTCAAAGAATTGTAAACTGTAGATTCATTTAATTTTTTGTTCAAAAACTACAAGGTTTATATTTTTCAGATATATGTACCTATACATACACATATATGTATATAAACATACAAATCTTTACAAATAGGAATATATATTTACACATTTCTGTAAGAATACGTTATCATGAATTACCAGTTGCTTCTTTTGGACCCAGCACTCTTTAATTTAAATTTGTACTGTACGTAGTATACTAAATAAATGCCTACAGATTTAATAGTCACTTTCTTAAGATTAAGAATTGATGCCCAGCATACAGTATTTAAAAAGTTTAATTTATATGCCTCTCATCCTTATGTTTATCTCTATACGGTCTTTCAGCAATTTATGTGCATGAAGTTAGTCAAAATATTATATCATAGATGTAACTTTCTATTCATATCATACTTATTGTCCAATTAATGAAGCCTTAAGATATTGATCTATTCTTTTCCTAAGTATCTTATTCCTTCAAAAATAATGGACTTCAGGTGCTTATCCTAGAACAAATACACATAATGAAGAACTGTGCAAAATTTCAACAATAGATGGTGCACATTTACTCTTCTTAACTAGCTTTGTTGTTTGAAGAAAAAACAAACAAGCATGTAAAGTCATTCTAAAACATGATCCCTATAACAAATGAGAATTCTTACAAACTGACAAAAAACAATAATCCCAATCTCAATTCCTATAAGTGATTCTCTACCGTCTGGGCTTTGGTTTCAAAATTGAACAGTCTTGCCAAAGTTTTCTGCAATGTTCTATGAAGACCAATAAAAGAACGCTTATCAGAGGTCATTAAATGCCATTAAGAGGAACATGTTGGTGCTGCATAGCAAGAGTCAAATGAGCATGAAAGGATTATCCACCATAGGTACATGATACTGGAGAACGATGGGAAAAGAATTTAGTCAAAATTGGGTTTGCACTGTTTACTCTCTACAATTCACCTTCACTAGCACCCTGAATGTTACAGAAGATCTCTGCTTTGTAAATACTCCTTCTCTTCATCACAAAAAAGTTCATAAGAAGAGAATGCTATAGAAGTGGTTTCAAACACAGCTGCAAGTAAATGTAACTTTAATTCTTTTAAAATTTTTCATCTTGAACTTCACTTAACAACTTCTAAAACAAAATCTTTGAAGGTGGACCCAGAGGCCATCTTGAAACTGATCCTTTCGGTGTAAAAAAAATTTTTTTTCAATCCAAGAATTTAGGATTCAACACTTTCCATTTAATGTGCTGGCATGTGCATTTACAGTCAACCATCCTTTGATGTTTATTAAAATATATTTTAAAAATTGTGAATTGTTCACTACATTCATATGCTGCATATTCACATTTCATTCAAGAACGGATCACATATATGATGGTGGTCCTGTCTGATTATATTACTGCACTCACTGCCAGTCGCATAAAAGTATAGCACATACAATTTTGTTTGGTACATAGTATGTGGTAAGGATAATAAACAACTAAGTTAGTGGGTTAAGTATTTGCTATATTATACTTTTTGTTATTTTTAAATGTCCTATATATTAAAAAAAGTTTAGCATAACACAGTATGCTGCATTACACCACCATTCACAGATCTCCTGTTTACTGTGAATCTTATTTGCATCCTTATATCTTGATGTTGATTTAATCTAGTGTTGCTTGTTCAGCAAACAACAATAACTGCCAGAAGCAATAAGCTATTCTATATGTGTATATAATTAGGTACATACATAAATATTGATACTATATGTACAATATACTATACAGTATAGATATATAGTAGGCTATACCATTAGTTTTGGGTAAGTCTGCTCTGTGATGTTTACACAACAATGAAATTGCCTAATGATATACTTCTCAGAACATGTTTATGACATCAAGTGAAGGTATATACTAATTATCATGGTAATTCAAGTCAAAAGAAAAACAACCCGCGGGCTTTATGTTCACAGGTGAAATCATGTATGTGTATTCTTGTCACAGGATGATTAATTGACCAATATAAGTATGATCAGTTCAAATGTAAAAATACATTGAATATTGATAGACTTCTCTGGATTAATAGAATAGAAATACAAGTTCAAAAGAAAAAAATATGATGTACAATTTCCAAGTGCTAATGAGGAACCTATTTGTGCATCTTTACAATAAATGATGTTGATAACAAGTATGATATTTATATTCCAGGTACTATGTTTAAAGGAATTACTTTGACTGTAAAATACCAATATCTACAATATATTTGAAATATTTGCAACCATTTAAACTTATGATGAAACTATTTACATGTAAACTTAAAAAGCTGTGATGGGCATACAGTTTCCAAAATCCTTTTAGAATTCTTTTATATCACTGCTCTGAACTACGAAAATTTTACAGGAGATGAATGGGTTGGCCAGTGTGTGTCATAAAATAAATGCTTTTGCTTAAACAGTAATTTATTCAGATCATAAATGTGTAGTCCATAATGCTAAGCTTCTTGATATAGTTTCCAAGAAAAAAAATTATGTTTGGAAATATTTCTGCTTTTGAGACTTCATTTTACAGTGAAAAGATTTTTTCATTAATATATCATGATAATAAGGTGTGAATATTTAATTTTTAAATATATACACTGTTATATGTATAAGTGAGTTTGCCTTTTTGCCAATATGATTTTGAAGAGCTTTTCCGTAATTACCTAATATATGCTGTAGGAATCAATAACTATTTTAAATGAGTCTACCTAAATTGAAAAGTAAGAGTCTCATTCATAAAAATTTTACTATTTCTAAGGCAAATTTTAATTATTTGGCATTATACATATGTAGGGCAATATCTTGCTTTTTCTTTTGATTATAAGAGAGTATTTAAATGACTTTGTAATTTGTAAGTTTATTGCTAATTCATCTTTAAACACTGCATGTGTTGATTTTGTAATATTTTAATTTGATCATTAGCCACATGTCAAGTATTTTTGAACCATAGTACTTACCCTCTGTTACATTTTGCTATTTCCTCAAACAGAAGTCTCCACTGAGGACGTCCAACACATAGTCTTGAATTCAATGCATGATATTTTTCTCCAATTATCTTCTGCCAAAATGAAAATACTATGTTTTATATGATTCAAATTTGGATACACAACTCATTTCTCTAACATCAGTTTTGTTGGTGCTATATCTTCCTATCAAATTGCTGTGATAGAATTACCAAATGGAAACCTATTAAGAAGAATAATTTCAAAGCATTGTTTCCTTCTTTTCCTTGAAAATCCATTATCTTCTTGAATGCCAGTTTTAGAAATGGCTGATTTTCCTAGACTTTATTTATTTAATTTTTTTGGTACTGGGGATCAACTCAAGACCTTGCACTTTTGAGGTAGGCAGCAGAACCACTGAGCTAAATCCCCAACCCCCTTTCCTAGACTTTAGTTAGTTGCTTTATTTAAAACAAAACAAACAAACAAAAAAACCCCTGCAATGTATGATGGAGGATGCTTTCTACTTGGTCGCTCATTCTCAAAAGGCTCAGCACATAAACTTCACTGAAGTATTTTTGCACACAAATTACAGTTGTCATATTTGACTTATTATACCAGTAAATTACTACAAATTATTATCATAAATTTGGGGAAACAATCCTGAAGAAGACAGCCTGAGACAGCAGAGTTCCAAATCTGTTTGAGTCCATCAACAAATAACAGTTAATGGTCAAGTGTTTGCAATTACTAGAACATTAGATTGAAATCCACAATTCAAAAATGCAAGCAGACGAGGGGAGAGAGTTTCAGGCAGATAAGCTGAGTATCAAATATAATTTTACTCTGTAATTTAATTATAATTATACCATGAGGAAAAATGGTACTGACTTGCTTCATGAGTGTGGAAAAATGAAATAGTTTTTAACATTGCAAATAAGGTAGAAATCTGACTTGTTTAGAAGTAACTGACAAGCATTCATATTTTTATTCAAAACATTGTGAAAATGTATGATGGAAAATCCTATTATAAAATCTGGAAAGCATACACACCCAGATTTATCACTTTCCACAGCTCTTTAATATTGTCTCTAAATAGTTTCTTCATCTGCAAAATGGGGATAGTAATATTAACTGTTCAAATCTGTTGTGATTATACCACAAGGTAATGCACGTGAAATTTGTACCGAGTCTAGCAGAGTAAAATAAGTAATACATGATGGCTATTAATTTTTCTAGGAATTAACTATACTTAATTGTACATGACTCATCTCTCTCCAAATTTAACCTCTTACAGATGAAAAACATCACAAGGTTGTGATGATCTCCACAGGCAATAAACTTGAAGCGATAGTGAAGAGTGAATAGAGGGACTGCAAAGGTCTGCTCCAGACTGTGCTGAGGAGGACAATTGAAAGGCAGAATAAGTTTGACTTCAAGGACAAGCCAGGAGTTTGCTGAATGGATTCCAAAGGAGGCTTTCCTCAAGGAAACTCCTGCACAAACCACCTGCAGAGCTTTTCTTCTAGCGCAGCTCCTACAGAAAATCTTCTGTTATCATGAGGCTTGTTTAATTAACAATAACATCCAACACATACCTGTATCCCATCTGTTTGACTGAGGTACAGCTGGATATTGACATAGTCAGGTCTGTTCTCTTGCCAAAACTGAGAAGACATTAAAATGAATAAACTTATTAAAATTCTTTCTATATACCCAGGTTTTCTTCTTTTCTAACACATGTGATTCTATAATTTAACACATAAATTTGCTTACAGTGAACATTTAAAGCCAATGAAATGTATGTGTATATTTATGTATGTATATAGTATATGAATGTATATAATATGTATATAGACCAAGGACAAATTTAAACATTGATAACTTGTCCTACCTTGCTGACAAAAATTACTTACAATGATGGTGATGGATATAAATTTCTATCTTTATTGATACAGAAGTTATCATACTAATATTCACCTAAGTCCTTTCTAAATGTTCATATTTTATTCCATAAGGATCTCTAAATTTCAATTCAGGAGTAGATTACTCATCAAGAACATAAGTTTCTTTTTAAAAAGACAACACTGATATAGGATACAAATTCTAAAATTCCAAAACAGAACAAAAATAAAAATAAATACTATACATTTTTTTCTTATTCCTGATTTCTACTCATTCAACACTGATTTTCTTATGTAAAAATGTATGAGGCAAGAAATATACCTGCACAAATGAGCAACTTGGAAAAAATGTCAAACAATTTTCCATTTCTTCCTTCCTTTCTAGCAACCACCATTCTACCTTAAGTCACTGTGAGTTACATTTCCATAGGTGCCACATAAATAGGGATCATGTAATACTTTCCTTTTGTGTCAGCTTAACTCACTTGGCCTAATGTCTCCAAGATTCATCCATGTGGTAGGATGTGTCAGAATGTTTTTTTTTTAAGGCTAAATAATATTCTATGCTGTGCACATACCAAATTGTGTTTATCCATTCATCAGTTGATAGACAATTAGATTGTTTTCATTCTTGGTTACTGTGTAACCACCTTCCATAGACATCAATGTACAAGTATCTATTAAATTCCTTGCTTTTGACTATTCTAGGTATATGTCCCCAAACCATTTTTTTCTTTTACATAAAATCCAAAGGCCTTCTGTAATCTACTTTTCCCTGGAAAAGCACTCACACGCCGCCTCTCTAATTGCCCTTCTACTGTTCTTGCCTTTGCTCATTCTGCTTCATCTGCACAGACCTCCTTTCTCTTCCTTCAACATATCACACTCACTACTGCACCAGGGCTCTGTCCTGTGAAGTAGTTTCCTCTGCCTTGAATTTGACCCCCAAGGTACTTGACTTCTCTGCTTGTTCTCTCAAGTCTCTGTTTAAACAGTATTTCGTTTGGTGATCATTCCTGAACTCATGACATAAATGAACTTGCCTTCTACTGGTAGTACTGCTTTGCCCCTGCTTGCCTTTTCTTCTTTGTCCTACTCAAAATGTTAGAATCTGATACCTTGTGTATTTATTGGCTCGTTGCCTACCTCTCCCACTTATAACACTCAAGAGATCACAGACTTGGTTTTATTTTGCAACACGATGTATCTCCAGCTTGTAAAACAGTTCCTGATTCACAGCAGGCTATTAACAAATACTTGTTGAATGATAGCACCACTGACTGAATGAATTCCTGTACAAAGGGGCCTGTGCAATGATTCACTTCAGCAGTTTTGTAGTAAGGAAATATCCACTGTGAAGGAATTGCTAAATAAACTCGATATACCTGTATAATGAAATTTTCTACTGCAGTAAAAAGAATGAGCTAGCTCTATGTTTGCTAACACAAAAAATTTCAAGACATAGCAATACATTTATGAAAAGTAATTTGAAGAAAAAGTAAATAGCATAATAGGACACTCATAAGACAACTGGTTACACAGACTTGGTAGGAATATTAAGAGAGATTTTAATTTGAATTGCTTGTGGTATTTGTGGCAAAAATCAGTATGTACATTACTTGCACAATTTGAATATAATAAAGATAACTAAATTAAATGTTACAGGGATTTTTGAGTTGCTATAGTGTTTCAAGAAGTCTAATGATAGTTTATTGATTATATTAAATGCTAAATGAGTATTTTTATGTTAAAGTATATTAAATACACACATACAAATATACATATAAAGATATGTAAGCCTAATTATTAACCAATTTAATCTCATTTTCTAGATTTATGAGAATTTTTATTCTCAAACAAGAATATATTGCTTTTGTAATATAAAATAAAATAATTATTTTTAAATAAAAGTTGCAAAAATAAAATAAGTCTTAATATTACCTTGTCATAAAACATACAGAGTAAATCTGCAAACCAATGGAAGGATTGAATGTCTCTACACACCCAAATAAAGTACAGTCTTCTAAGCTTGTATGGTTTCCAGTCATCTCTTAAAAATTAAAATAACATGGTAGTGATTAGCATTATAAAAAAGTTACAGAGTTCCTATATTCTTGAAGATTTACTTTTCATTAAGGTAACCAGTAGAACAACTAGTCACATTCTGGTACTTGATATAGTACTTATTATTCTCAAATAAATGCAATATGCAATATACTAATTCAAAGGCATGGTATACATTATTAAGTGTTTTACTTCTGAATGCTACATGAATATCACCCATTTTCATCTGAAGACCATAAACTGAACTTTTGAATCAGAATAACCTTGGGCCTCGCATCTCAGAAAAAAAAGTTTTCTATTTTCAATAAATTCTACCACTGAGCAGGGATCCAAAGGTCATTTGGTCTTGTCCTTACTTTGAGGCAAAATGAACGAAAATCATTCCAGAAGCTTGGTTGTTTACCCCCTTTTTAATAATCATTAAAGAAAAGATTTCACAACCACCTAATATGTAATGCATTCCAGACACTCTTAATTCCAAGTCTGGTTTCCTATTTATAACTGAATAGACTTGAGGTTAAGAAAATGTTCTTCTTTTTTCATAACATTAGATGGCTAAATAACTTGCAATGTGTTGTCAGAAAAAAATGATTTCTGGCTTGGAATACAGTTATTTTTGTAAGAACCTTCAGAAAGTCTTGAAATCACTCTAGTATTGAAAAGTGAAATAAAATGTCATTAATACACATTGCTTCAACTTCTTTTTTGATAATCTATAAACATATTTCAATACAAATTGTGTTTATTCCATTCACATGAAAAGGAATAGATTAGAGAGCAACTTTTTGCTGTCAGTGTGTTTGTATTTTTAAGACAATCCATCAACTATTTGCTTATTATCCTGGAACTAAAGTACCATAAGAGTGTTTCCTAGTTAGGTAGTGTCACCTTTGAAATTTCTTCATTCTGTTGTAAAATTGCTAAGTAATAAACAAGGAATGATGTATTTATCTGCCATCTTCTCAAAAGCTTTGCCTGAACATGTGTCTACAATACCAATCCTTTATTTCTGTATCCTATTAATCTGTCTTCTTTTCCTCATAGTTCTAATATTTTCTGAAATAATTATCTTTATGAATTCTTCACTGCTTTATTTTTTACTTGCCAAATTTGAATGTAAGCTTTTTAAAATGACATACAGCAGGGTGTTGAGTATTGACGCAAATGGAGTTACTCCGATGCCTCCAGCCACACAGAGGCTGACCTCATAGTTGAGTGATTCCTCAAATGGACTTCCAAATGGACCATCGATGTATACCCTGTAGAGAAGGCAGACAAAGATTGGAAGACTCAAAATAAGTTAACTTAATTTTAGATAGTATATATCAAATACAATGAATCCAATTTCTAAGTATTGTGGTGGTTCAGGCTTTATTTTATTTTTTCTTACAGTGATAAGCCTAAAGAAATAAGAAATGTTACTGTATCAAAACAAGCACACACGTTTGTCAGCATACCTTTTCTGAAAGAAATTTTAATTAAAGTGTTGGGAAATAGAAATAGAATCACACTGGATAGGTAGGTAGGGACTGGTTAAAACTCTGATTATAGGGGCTGGGGCTTTAGCTCAGTGGTTCTGGTGCTGCCTTGCAAGCATAAGGTTCCAAGTTCAATCCCCGGTACCAAAAAAAAAAAAACAAAAAAAACTCTGATTATATTGTATTAGTGTAATTGACCTATTAAAATGCTCACCAATTTACTATGTTTAATTGAATGGTATTCCCTTCAATGGCAAGGTGTGTAGCAGAATTATTTCCTTACACATTTATTATGGGAACAGAAAAATAATAGGAAGAAAGAAAGTGATCTAACACTCTCTTCCCCTTGTCCCAGTTAGGTTTATAAGTATAGAAACAGCTGAAGAACAAAAAAAGTTAAGCTGTACTTACTCTACATATATTCAACATATGTGACATTTCTTTTATTTCTTTTTATACATTTTTATACATGATAAGAAAGCTCTCTACCCCAGAACTACATCCTTACCCCTTTTTAAATTTTATTTTGAGATAGAGTTTCATTAAATTGCTCAAGCTGGCTTTGAACCCATGGTCTTCCTGCCTCAGATTCTCAGGTAGGTGGGATTATAGCTATATACCAACGTATTTGGCTTGAAACTTTTCTTATGCAACAGAAATTGCTAACTGCTCACTTAATAGTCATCGTCCCTTTTCTTAGTAATACAACACTAATTTTATTCAGGAAAGCAAAGTGTCCAGCCAAAACATTCCATATCTTAGATTCCATTCATGTCTTTGGGCTATGTCTATGTTCGGGCCAATGTGATATAAATGGAAGTGCAATTGGAAAAACTGGATAGGTACTTTGGAATAAGCACTCTGAGATAAAAGTTGTATCTCCTTATTCCTCTATATATTTTCCTCCCTAGTGCCTGGGATATTGACTTTATTATGGTCTACCTTTGATGACTGTGGAATCATCATATGGACCACTTAGTTCCAGACATAAAAATCAATCCTTAATGTATAGAAGACACTGCCATTTTACTGTTTGATATCCATTATAAAAATAACTTTATTAAAAATTAGTGACATTTCAGAAAACTACACTTGTGTAGTAAGTCTTACAATATGCATGTTCTTCATGGTTAGGAGCCATTAGTAGATCAGTTAAGATTATGCATCTGTGGGCTTAGTATTTGATGACTGGTAAATGTTTTTTAAATGAATTAACAAATGGACATTCCTTTGGAATCTGACATTTAGTCTGTGTAACTATCAGTTGTTGGCAAATCTAATTTTCTCTCATTGACTCTGGAGGGTACACTTCACAGGCTTTTGAAATTTACATTGGTTCATATGTCTGGTTCCCACCATTGGGCTGTCACTTCCAGAATGGGGTAGGGAAAAGTTATTTTCCTTCCATGGGGAGCAAAAGCTGTGAGCTGAACCAGAAAAAGGGAACACTGAATCCTTGAAGCATTCTTACTTGAAGGACACTGTCCTAGGGATCCACCAGACTCACAGATAACACAGCATGAGCAAGGAATATATCTGCTTATTGTTTCATCACATTTTCAGGGATGTTCCAAAGTTAATGAGTTACTGAAGCAGAATTTAGTCTATCATGATTAATACATGTACATTGCATATTTAAGTCTTACAGAGAAACCTGCAAGGGTGTTAAAGTAGTATATATACTAGAACAATATAGTTCTTTCTTTTTTTTTTTTTTTTTGGTACTGGGGATCGAACTCCGGTCCTTGCACTTGCACAGCAGGCGGCAAAACCACTGAGCTAAATCCTCGGCCCAAAATATAGTTCTTTTACTTCAAGGAACAAAAACTGAAGCTGATATGTTTAATGTAATGATGCAAACACAGCAGAAATTCAGTAAGTACTCATAGACCATACAATTACAAAATGTACAATTCTTATTGCATACATTTAATTCACATTTTAAAGCTCACTCATTTAAACATATACTTTGGGCCAGTTATTTGTGTGATACTATTTTCGATTCAAGAATAAAAATGACATCATATATGCCATAAAGAATTTTTATTGTGAGTTTGAACTACAGGCCAGTCTCTTTAATAAACACAGATGCAAAAGTTCTCCATAAGATACTTGCAAGCAGAATGTAGCAAATCATCAAAAAAGTCACACATCATGACCAAGGAGGATTCATTCCAGAGATGCAGGGATGGTTGAACATACACAAAGCAATAAATGCAATACACCACATAAGCATGCATGTTTATCTGAAAATCACACTAAATGGGTTAAAAGAAAAATGAGTTACATCAATGCATTGATCTTTTAAAAGATGAAATCTTAAAAATTTCATTGATAAAATCGATACATTATTGACCAACAAAAAATGAGAAAAGAAATGAAAACCATCTCTTTCTTACTTCTCTGCTTTCCAACAAACACCCTCCCCATTCCCTCCACAGATTTTCTTTGGTTTAAAATAATTTGGATTTGAAGACTAGAACTTGAAGTTTTAATCATTTACAGAAATGGGGTCACAGACAAGTTACTTGTCCTCTCTAAACTTTTCCTTCATCTTTATCAGGGTCAACAAGACATATTGATGCAAAAAACTCCTGCTAAGAATTATGGAGTCATATAAATATCATGATGTGACTGAATGGCTATAGTGCCCCCTCAAGCCAGGTGAGAGATTCAACAGATGGGAATGGTAGTTGGCAATTTGATTTGAAGAATCTTAGAGGACCAGCTGCTTTTCACTTGAAAAGGAAGAAGGAAAACAAAATTACTGCTAATTTATTACTCAGCAACTACTAGTTTTTTGAGAGAAACAAAAAGAAATGAAAATGACTTCAGTCATTTTTTATATATTTGAGTTGACTAATGTGCAAAATACATTGCCTTACATTTACAAACAATGAACTTATTTTAATACCTGGATTTCAAAAGAATGTTTTGTTATTATTGTTGCATGTGTCAAGATTACAGAAATCAAAAGCAACTATTCAGTCTTCTAACAGCATAGTTCAGATGAGATCAACTTGATATATTTTTAAATTTCTATTGGTAACTAATAAAAACTCTTTCGTAAAGATTTCAAGAAAATTCCAAGACAAGAGATATTCTCTTCCCTCCAAAGTATATAAACATATTTTGAAATTTTAATAAGTTTTCCCTTGAAAGCAGAATTCATTAATATTTTCTAAATTGGATTGTTTTATTGAGTGTGATTTGATTGTGAGAGGTCTTCTCTCTAAAGAAATTCATCAGCCAAAAGCTAATTCAACTATATTAAAGATCCAAGTTTTAGTTGGATATGATGGCACATGCATGTAATCCCAGGCTGAGGCTGGAGAATGGTTGTGAGTTCAAGGCCAGCCTGGGCTACACAGTGAGGTCATGGCCAGCCTGAACTACATATCGAGACCCTGTCTCAATAAAAACAATAGGTATCCTATCTCCCAACATTTGCTACCACCTCTACCCTAAACACACCAATATTACAAACACTAAAATAGGCAACATGAGGAGAAAGTTAATCACAGCTTTAAGAAAATATCTTAAGATTTTAAAAATAGCTACTAATTATACCAGTACTTGTTAAAGAAATTTTTACAAAACAATATTACAAGGGGTGAGGAAGTATGTCATGTTCAAATAAATTCAGAAAATCTATTAAACAAATATTTTAATGTTTGAAAATTTTATTTATTTATTTATTTATTTATTTATTTATTTATTTATTTATTTTGGTACCAGGGATCAAACTTGGGACCTTGCGCTTGCGTGACAGGCGCTGGAACCACTGAGCTAAATCCCTGGCCCAATTTTTAAAAATTTTAAAGGACCAGCAATGCAATGCTCCAAATTGGAGGGTGTAGTTACAGTAATGCAGCCACATAAGAGAAAAAGGGAGAACTACATTTTCTAGCCTTTCTTAAAAATGGTAGTGACATGAGTTCAGACTAGTGAAATGAAGTAGTATTTTGTGCAGGGTTTCTGAGGACCTTCTGTAAAGGGAGGCCAACTCAGCTGCAGGCACCTTTCCTGACCTTTGGCCCCAACTCACAAAGACAGGCACAAAATACAAAGTTCTTCTTCCAGACTAATCTTGCAAACACATCCTTTTGCTTCCAGCTATCTCTATCCCGCAAAACAATGATCCCCTCCACCTAGACAGAAGTGGTGAATTACAACAGCCACAAGGTAAAGACTTTCCCTTGCCCTGAGGCAAGACACTTTGAGAAAAGGCAAAACAGAGCTGATGAGGATGTTGCTGATGAGGATTCACTTCTTTTTGTAAAGGTCAGGTGCTAGGTAGGTGTTGTGGTACAAGACTATAATGTCAGGACTCTGGGAGGCTGAGGCAGGAGGGATCACAAGTTCGAGTCCAACCTGGGCAATTAAGAGATTTAGCAAGAGTTTCTTAAAATTAAAAAAAAAGAAAGAAATGGGGGAGTGTAGGACAGTAGCTCAGTGTAAAGGCCCTGGGTTCAATCTCCAGTTACACACACACACACACACACACACACACACACACACAAAGGCTAGGTGTTTTATTTCATATTTATTTAAATACAGTAAAGGTGCACAAAGTAAAATTATGCCAGGCATTATGGTACTCTCAAAGCAACAATAAAAGGAAAGGTGTCACCATTATTTCCATTTAAAATATAAGAAACAAAAGAAAAAGAAAAGCAGAAAGATTCTCCGAGAGACTTCCACTCAACCCTAATCATGAGGACAGTAAACCAGAATGCAACTCAGATGAAAAACCTTGAAATCACCTAAAGCCCCTTTTTCCATCTCTCTCATCCTCCCTTAACTAACCCAGAAGTGTCACTACATTCTGTTGATTGTGCCTTCTAACATCCTAAGACACCTATCTGATCTTTCATGTTACTATTAACACTTTATTGCTTCCTACCCTAACAGAAAATTGCCAGCTAGAAAATCGCCTGGTGTCATGTGGTACCTCATGTCTCTCTCTGGCTCTATGATAAATCTATGAAAATGTAGCTCTAACCTTCTCCTTTACAGTTCTCCACTGGCTTCACAACAAAGCCCAAATTCTGTTAAATGTCAATTCTGGCCTTTCAGGACCTGGCTCTATCTCCATTTTTCTTTGCACTTCAACCCCTTGAGTGTGCTTTTGTATATGTGCATTCACTGGCATGTATGTGTTTGCATCAACAAACACAGTTTTTGGTTACTTGGTGATGATCCCTCAATGATCTCTGAACTTTCATGGCTCTGTATGTTGTTAAGCTATCAGTTTTATCTTAAAATCCTCTTTAACTGGTTAATTTTATTCAAGAAAAAATTAACAGCATAAATAACTTAGATGAGCACTTTATTTTCTATTCTCCTGTAGAATTTAGTTTATTTCTTTGTGTGTACGTCTTAACACATTGCTATAATTTTAGCCACTAAACTCTGATTTTGCTTTTCCCCCGACAGGACACTAGGTCTCTCAAAGCCATTTCATTATGTCCTAGTCACTCTTATATTCCCAGTAACTGTAACTGCTTATGCTACTCGCTAAGTATTTGGTTAATGAGTCAGTTGAATGAGTAAATGAGAGACAGTATAAGAGAGTTAAGCATAATTTGGTGACAAACAGATCTGGGTTTGAGACCCAACTGTGCCATGTGATGTTGGGTGAGGGAATATTTATTCAAATTTCAGTCCTCTAATCTACAGAAGTGGAGACATAAAACTTCCTAACTCAGAGCAGTATAGTAAAGATTAAACAAAATAATGCATATAAAGCATATAGCACAATTTCTGGTATGTAGAGGATTCAATACACACTATTATTATTTCTTTGTTATTATAAATGAGGGTAACTTAGCTCAAACCAAGTACATTAAATATACACATATTGAACAAAAATTGCTGAAGAGAGAATAAGGGTATCTTTGCTAGGGAAGAAGAAGGAAAATAAGCTGGAGAATAGGGAAAATCTGGAAAGGTCATATGAGGTTTTGCAGTTTAAAATATTACCCAACATCACCATTTGAAACCATTCATAGCAGCCAATTGGAAATGAGACTGGGTTGGGACACTGTTCTTATTGTCCAAACAATCAACATTGTTCTTTGGCAGCAAACCAAGCCAAAGAAAAACAGTTCTAATTTTTGTTATGAATAGTATTCTTTTCTCTACCTGTTCTGATATTAGGCAGCTCAGAGAACTTGATACTGATCTTTGCAAAGAAAAAATATTTTATGACTCTGTTTTCACAATATTTTTGTACATATTTTGATTAAACTTTCCAGTGATACTGGGTCATTTTTTTTGGAATACTTGCCAAATTGTTGCATGTTGTATATGAGTAAAATTATGCAAAATGTCCTCAACCATCTTCTACATCCAAATTACATTTATAAGGATAAGAATATAACTGACTCGGCCAGGGATTTAGCTCAGTGGCACTTTGCCTGCCTCGCAAGCATAAGGTACTGAGTTTGATCTCCGGTACCAAAAAAAAAAGGGAATATAACTCTTCTAGTCTTCTAGTGTAAGTATATTATAAACCTGAGTCCTTCAGAGTTAATGAAAATAAGATCAGTATGGATAAGATCAGTATGGATGAGCTATAAAACTTGTTACTGTAACTCCCTTTCCATTGTGTAATTGCACAAGAAATAACAGCAAGAATTAACAAATGAGATTATATCAGACTAAAAAGATTCTGAATAGAAAAAAAAAAAAAAGCAAACAGTAAAGTGAAGAAACACCCCACAGAATAGGGAAAAAAATTTTTCCAGCTACTCCTCAGACAGAGGACTATTATCTAGAACATACAAAGAACTCGAAAAAAATTAAACCTTCTGAAATTAAAGAGCCAGTGAAGAAATGGGCAAAAGAAATGAAAAGACACTTCACAGAAGAAGAAATACAAATGATCAACAAATATACGAAAAAATGTTCAACATCTCTGGCCATTAAAGAAATGCAAATTAAAACAACCCTAAGATTCCATCTTATTCCAGAGAGAATGGCAATCATTAGAAAATCAGTAACAAACATTGGCACAGCTGTGGTTAAAAAGGAACCCTCCTGCGTTGTTGGTGGGAATGTAAACTAGTACAACCACTATGGAAATAAGTACAGAGATTTTTCAAAGAACTGAAATTAGAAATTCCATATGACCTAGCTGTCCCCCTACGGGGGCTCTTCCCCAAAGAGCTTAAACCATCATATTACAATGATAATTGCATACCAATATTTATAGCACCACAATTCATAATAGCTAAATCCTAGAAGGAGACTTTATACCCATCAACAGATGATTAGATAAAATATGGTATCTCGCATGGTCCTGAGTTCAATCCCCAGTACAAAAAAAAAACAAAACAAAAAACCAAAACAAACAAAAAAAGAAAATACAGTATCTATATACAAAGGAATTATACTCAGCTATAAAGAATGACAAATTTGAGACATTCGTAGAAAAATGGATGCACTGGGAAAATATAATATTGAATGAAATAAACCAGACACACAAGCTTAAATACAGTACAGTATCACTCATTTGAGTGAGGCAAAGTACAAATAAAGAAAATGATAAAGAATGGATAGAAAGGGTCAAAGGGAAGTCATCCAAAGAAGCAAGGGCAAAGGATGAAGAGGATGGGAAAGGGAAATAAGAAGACAAAAGAGGGCCAAGGATTTAGCTCAGTGGTATCTGCACCTGCCTTGCAAGCACAAGGTCCCGAGTTCGATCCCCAGTACCAAAAAAAATAAAGTAAAAGAAGATGAAAGATATGCCATGTAGAGGAACTTAATCAACCCAATTAGTGTAAACAAGATATCCCATAACATGAACTAAGACGAAATTTCTCCAGGGCCAAGCCACCTCCCTTTTGAATTCCCAGAGAAGCCCTGAAGCTTACTTGGGATAATTTCTAGATTGAATGAAGGGCAGAATCTCAGACTCTTGACTAGATGGAGGCAGCAGCAAATCTCGGAATCGTTCTGCCAAAAAAAAAAAAAAACAAGCTGTGAAAAGATAAAAGTCATAAAAATATTTTTGTGCATAATACTATACAGATAAGATTACAAGCATATACACACAGACACACATATATAGCAAAAACAAAGAAAAGAGATCATTTATACAGCTACCCAAACTATAAAAAAATCTATAAATAATATTCATGTATTTGAAATATTCTTTAACAATGATACAATGATATAAAAACTGCAGATAGTAAATGAAAATAAACAAAAGTCCTTGAATAGCTATCATGACTGTCAAAAACATTCACTTATACACAAAAAAAATATACAACACATAGCTTGAAATTATATCCTTCGTCAAAATTATATTTCTTTCATCATAAATTTCCAAATGTAAACAATAAGTTTTAGTCCATGATGGTATACAAGATTTTAAATTTTTTATTTATGAGAATAAAGATAAGTGATAAAAATAACCTTAGAAAAATCCAAATAAATAAAAA